TGGAAGGATCGCCTGAGCCCAGCAGGTCAAGGCTGCGGTGGCCGGGAGCATGCCACTGCATTCCAGCCTGGGCGACAGAGTGTGACTCCAACTCAAAAAAAAAAAAAAGAAAAGAAAGACATGCAAAAGCACAGGCACCTGTGCTGTGAAAAGCCCTCCAGGTGACTGTGACACCTGCTCCAGTTGTGAAGGTCAAGTGCTTGGATCAGCACCTGCTGCGTGGTGTGCCTCGCCTGCTTTTGTGTCTGGGCTTTGCAACTGCAGCTGAGTTATTTTGGCACCTGTCGCCTCTTCCCAGTTTCTCTCTCCTTTTCTGCCTCCAAAACCCCCCGGCGGCAGCTCTGCACCTGCCTTTTAGGGTGGCCTTTGAGAATCAATCAACCACATCTATAAAAGTCTCCACGCTTCCTGGAAGTAGTTGCCTCAGAGACAGGAATGCAAAGGGTTATTCTTAGAACTTTGTCTTTCTGCTCTTCCCTTCAATACAGGATCTTGAAGAACCTGGTAAATACCACTCACCTTCAGAAGGACAAACAGCACCGGGGAGAGAGGCGGTTCCTGGTTTGGGGCGTCCCCATACCTGCTACATGCAAGTCGCCAGCCCACACGGGTCTCCAGCCCCGGCCTGCAGATCGCTTCCCCCTACACGCAGCAGTTTTGCTTCCTCGTCACTGGACCCTCAGCACCGGGCACAAATTCATTCATTCATTCATTCACTTGTCTTGTTCTCCCTCTCTATGCCAGGCCTTATTTTAGGTGCTGGGGTCAGAACCAAATACAACCAAGTTCCTGCTCTCCTAGTGGAGGAGAGAGAGACAAGCCATAAGCCAACAAATAACATCGTCTTATGGCAGGTGCTCGCTGGACTTGGAATGAAGGAAGGAAGGATGCAGGTAACATAGGTCATGTGCTTTGGAGCGTGACAGACCTCAGATCTCGACCTTTTCTCTTCCTAGCCTTGGGAGTCAGGCGAAGCTTTAGTCTTTCTGAGCCTTAGTGTGCTCGTCTAGAAGATGGGAATGGTAGTAGTATCTACCTCAAAGACCTCTAGGAAGATTTAGTGAGTAAAATGCTAAGCAGGGTGGCTGGCACATGCCGAGTGCTCCACGGGGTTAGATGCTATTCAATCGAGGTCACATAGCTGAGCCTACATACTGAACTGGTCCTCTGTGGAGAGGTTCTTCCACTGGGACATCTATACCTCCCAGAGCTGGGATGGATCCCAGTGGCTGGCTGGTAATCTGACTTCTGGTTTTAAAGACAAGACACCTAGTGCTCACAGGGGTTCTGTGACTTGCCCCAGGTCTCTCTGGGAGTTGAAGGCATCTGAGCCTCTGCAACAGAGCCTCGTGGGCCCTGCCTCCCACCTGGCCTCTGGCTGGACATCATCATGCCCGCCCTTCCTGCCTTTGGAGGTGGGTATGGTAGAGGGGAGCTGCGTCTTCCCACCTTGAAAGCATGAAGCGTGGGGCCTCCCAGCCTTGGGCAATTTATACTCCTCTCCATTTCATCTCAAACTCAATGGAGGCTGCACGGGTCGGGCTGGGCCTAGACTGTGCTGTCAGACAGATCCGGGGTGAATCCTGGCCTTGGCACTTGCTGGCAGTGTGACTGTGCACTCCCCGGCCTGCCCTTTCTGCATCTGCAGCTATGTCCTCTGTCATCCCAAGGTCAAATGAGGTGATACTTGCCCAGAGCCTGGCACTGGGCCGGGCACACATTACATGCCCAGGTAGTAATTCCCCTGTCCATGCTCAGCACATCAGTCTCTTGCCCTTTTCTGAACACATCCTGAGTTTTCCACCCTTTGCTGATGCCAACACCTTGCCTGGACCCATTCCCCTGCTCCTCTCCGCCTGTGGTGTGCCTGCCTATGGCCTCCAGATCTGTACAAAGTGCCTGCCTATCCCTGGTAGCATCATTCATTTGTGTATGCATATGTAGAATGGGCAGTCGAATAAAAATAGTATTGCAGCTCCCGTTTGTTGAGCACTTACTATGCACCGGGCCCTGCACTCAACACTCCCATGCTTCATGCTCAGTTTACAGATGAGAAAATTGGGGCTCAGGGTCATGGAGCATGCTCAGGGGCACCCAGCCAGGAAGTGGGCCTGATTCATCTTGACCTCCCCCACTGCCAGGTGCAGGGTTGCTACTCAGTCAATACCTGCTGGGGCTGTCAGAAGAGTTTAGTGAGGTGTTTTCAGATCTGAGTGAGGCAGAGAGGGAGAGAGGGAACCAGCCGGAGTCTGGCTTGGTTTTCCTTCATTTGGGTTGTCTGTGAGTAGCCAGCCATGGAGACCCCGGACAGGGCTTCTGAGTGGCAGCACTGGCTGCAAATAAGAATGGGAAGCAGATCTGGAGGCCTGGGTTGGGGTCAC